GACTGTGTCAGGACAATGCTCTAGTTGAGCTACCCAGTCAGGGCCCGGACTGCTAATTTAAATATGGGGCCAGGAAGCTCTCAATGGAAAGTTGAACGGAAGAGATATAGGAAGAGGCATGCGAGTGTCTGAGAGCAGAACCTCCCCAGTAGAGGGAAGAGCCAGTGCAGAGGTTTGGAAGCAGGAATGTGCTTGGTATGTCTCAGGAAGACCAAGGAGCAGGAGCAGAAGAGGGGTCTGGAAGGACACTAGGGTTCACATTGAAATTTGAACCTTCTCATGACTGGGAAAGGGTGTTTCTCCCCATGGGAATATATATAATCATTTAGGGATTCAGTGTTGTTTTATACCTGCGCCTCCTTCAGGCTTGCCTAGAGTGCGTCTATCTCTATGAAACTAAACCAGTTAGGAGTCTTTGGCATATTCAGCTTTCTGCCCCTGAAAAGTCAAGGACCTGACTCATTCACTTGGGACTGCTTTATGGTAATGCTCTTGGGGTGACCAACAATGACCCCAACCTTATCACCCCATATATCTTCAATAGCTGTTTGAGATACGAGCTGTTGGGAACCGCCCTGACTGGTATCAGAAGCTGAAACCCCCGCCTAGGCTAAGGCTAAGGGAACGCCCTTGGAACCGTAAGCCAGCAAGGAGACAAAAGCTTATCTCCCTGGCAGGAATGCTGCTTCTGCTGCTTTATTCATGACTGAACCCCCAAAAAGCTTGGTCGGTTAGCCAAAGACAGGTAAGATTCCCCACGGGAGGGAACGACCTAAGACAGGCACGATCACTTTGGGAGGCCCCCCCAAAAGAAGGACTTGGGGGGCTGCAGCAAAAGGGGGTGATGGACCCTCGCTCCTCGGCTTTGACATAGCCTGAGTTCTCAGCATCTGGGAAAAAAACCTCCTTGTCTCCCAGTTGCCTTAGTTCCCCTTGCTCCACCTAAGCCTGAAACAATGACAGGGTGGTGCAGCTCTGTACTGAGAAGTGCGGATTCCCTGGGGTGATCAGGCCTAAGAAACAACATGTGAATTACTGTGAAACCTTCTTTGTTTAGAATGCTCTCAGTTGAATGAGAAGGGTCTTAGGAGGAAGTTAGTTTGTTCCTCAGTCTTACAGCTCTTTGACCCCCAACTCAATAGACCAGCAGAGTTCTTTGTTTTCTATGGTTCCTTACTTCCCCCTAATGAGTACTGTACTTTACCTGAATTATTATGCAGAATGAGCCCAATAAAAGCAGGTATGGACTGTAAATCGGCGCGCTCCCCACTAGGGGGGGTGGCCATTTCGTCACTACTTCCCCACAGAAACTAGTTTGTCTCTGTGTATGTGTTTTTTCTCGCGTGTTTATCGTCGAGCCATCCGCAGCATTCCGTGGTCACTGCTGGCCGGTGACCCACACGCAACCACGAGCTCTACACTACACAATGTGAGCAGTCTCTATTATTCACTGATGTAACGGTGACTTTATGAGCATGTAGGAATGGGGCTTTACACGTGGCCAGGGACATCATTCATGGACATAGAGCGGTGGTGATAAAGTTCATTGAAGTATGTTAATGGACTTTAGTATGAGGCAGATCTGAGCCTGAATTGTGGAATTGACACTGGCTATGGAATCTGAAGAAAGTTAAGTTTCCTAAAAGTTTGTTTCTTTCACCTCAAATAGCATGCTTGTAAGAATTTAATAAACCAAAAGAGTGGTTATGAGAACTGAGTGAAGTAATGTACCCAGCAGCAAACCATTGGTTCTCAGTAGCAATTCCCTTTCTTGTCTCTTTGTTCTCAGTTTCTCCTTTGCACCGCATGACTCAGAATTACTGCTGAATGACTGACTCATAATGAAATCTTAATTAATCATCAATTTTGGCACCACAGGCTTCCAACAGCACTCTCAAATAGGGGAGCCCGGGTTGTCTGAGCAGAGGCCAACAACACCAGCAGTCCGTGTGTGTTGCACTACAGTCTCTACAGAGCAGTGCAGGTGAAGTGAAATAATACAACACCCAACACAGGAGTTGTCCATTGTTCGTCTTCATCAAATGTTTATTTTTGTTACTTTTGTCCTCCTGTAGTTTTGAAAAATTTTTATGGAAATGTATATGTGTTTTAATTATGCTATGAAAAAGTAAAAAAAAAGTAAACAAAATTATGTGAGTCACAGTAGCTTGTTTTCTTGATAACGATGGTGAATTTAGACAGTCTTTTTCCTATTCTTGGATCTGAATATTGGGCATAAACTGAGTGTGAATTGAAACTGTGGTTGTTAATTTTATGGGTCACCTTGTTGGGGGGCCTTAAGAGCAAACCTCAGGTTTCCCCATGAAAGAAGTTCTGCCTCAAGCTGCAGCACTGGCTCCTGGCTGCCAGATTCCAGCCTGCTGACCCGCCCTGTGGGTTTTGTGCTGTCCAGCCTCCACAATCACTTGAATTCCCATTCCTTGAAAAAACTCTTCTTTTGCATGTGCATATGTGCATATGCATGTATGCATGCTCTGTATATATGTGTATACACATGCATGTATTTTTATGTATATATACATGCATGCATTTACATGTATATAGCTCCTGCCAGCTCTGTTTTTGTTTCTCTAGAGAGCCCTGACTGATACAGGTGAACATGAAGGCTTATTTATTCTTATTTTTCTGTCAGTAATTCTTTATGATGTCTCATTTGCATGATGCGATTTTACTGAAATGAAACTTGAGCAGCTCCAAACTGCATAATCAATTTCTTTCTGCCTCACAACAATTTCTTTTTGTCCTGGCCAGGAAACCTGACCCTGGGGTGGGAGCATCATCCACCTACTGGCGGAGGCCAGCAGAACCTACCTGTGAAGTTCATGGGGCATATTACCTGGGTTCTGTGGGGACAATAGTAGAAACACAATGCCTGGTGGATGATATGTCTCTAAAATTACAGATATATCAAGAAGTCACAGAGTGGAAACTGGTTCATTTGCTACTCTCTGGGCATGAATTGCAAGTATAACTAGGATATTAAAACTTTGTTGTCTAAGTGAAAATATGTTTGTGTAGTGATGATAGCACTGCAATTTCTAGGATGAATGCACAGGAGGACAAGTTACCATGAGAAAGGGTATCACTGAGAGCATAAATCTGCCTTTATTTGTTGCTAATCTGTCCATTGTGATGGGGACAGATAAACCCTGCTGAAAAGTGAGGTAAGAACTTTACATCATCTGAATTTAGAGCCACTACTCTACGCCTAAAACCTGGCTGGATTCCCACTTCATTTTCTTGTTTTAAAGTTAGTTTTCCCCTTTATTCCTTTTCTTCATTCTAAAGCCTTCCTCACAGCGCTGCCAGAATTTGAACAAAGACATCTTTGATCTCATTTCCAATTTACCATTTTCTTCCTATACATCTTGTCATAACCAAGCAGCCTTTATGCGCACTCTTTAGTTAATTTTTTTTTTTTTTTACTTTGTACAGATTTGGTAATCAGACACTTTTAGCAATGGCAGGGGAAATTGTGTTTTCAGAAGAGAAATCAACCAGGAACATTAACCAGCATGACTTGGTAAGAACCAGCTTCTCCCAGGAAGCTTTGGGTAGTTAATGAGTTCCTAGCACCTCCAAAAGATAGTTAATGGCCAAGAGAAACTGCTTTTAAGGTGGTAGCAACCTACACTGTCCATTAAAGCTCACAATCGAGCGAGGCAAGATATCTGACCATAGGTAGCAGAGCTGTGGAAAAACGAAACTGCAGCCTCAAAAAACCTCCACTTTCCACTCTCCATTTTGTAACTCCTGGAATGCTCTACTTTTTTCAGAATTGCTTACTAACTCTCACCTTGTTTTACTTTTGCTTCTGCCACCTTCATGTGCCTTTTCTTTACTTCATTCTTACTTAATTTTTGTGTACACAGTCATTCCTTTAATTTGCTTTCTTTCCTTTCTACTGTGAATTTCCTGTATTTCTCTTGCCTCTTCTCCCCTTTCCATTTTTACCTCTTTTTTATTTATTCTTTGAATTTCATTTCTCAGTTCTTAATTCTTCCTCCTCTCCTACTGATCTGTTCTGGCTTTAATCATTGTTGAGAACCTCTAAAATCACCTAGTGACTGATATTTTCTCCCTGAAAGAAGAGGGATTTGTGACTATGGAAAACTAACTACAAAGACCCGACACATTCAATTTTCAGTGCAGTCCTCTCCTTTCTTCTGTGATGCTTTTGCTTGGGATTAGAGCTGGACTGCTTACTGCAGCTCACAATGGCAAAGCCCTTCTGGCCTGACTTCTCTGCTCTGACTTCTCCGCCCTGTGAGTCACAAGGCAAGGTATGTCTGAGCCACTGTGTTTACACTGATTGCTGGAATTTTAAAATTGCCCTTCACTGTGAAAAACTTACACAGGTCTGCCTGGAAAACCAATGCATGGCAAGGTGAGTCTGAGCCACTGTGTTTACACTGATTGCTAGAATTTTAAAATTGCATTTCACTGGGAATAGCTTACTGAACTCTGCCTGGAAAACCAAGTAGTGTTATTTTATAATGACCAGAAGCATTGTTCTCCTCGGCCCATTCATTCCCCCTCCCCACTCCTTCATTATTTACAGCATCCACGAAAGCACGCACATGAGTTCCTGGGAGAAGGAGCTTTGTGTTGTCTCTCAGGCCATCTGGACCAGGAATGAGATCTTGACAAAGGGACAACAGTAAAATATCAACTAATAAAATAGATTGGTCCTTCAGGACTCTAGGTTTTACATCTGACATTCAGAAATAGTAGGCAGCCATGAAAACACCACGTTCATTTGGCCCTGAGAGATTTCAGTGTAGCCTCTTATAACACCTAAATATGGACTACACAACTTTTCAATTTTTTAAATCATTGTATTTGATAAGTTTGGTGTGAATCCACTTTACCTTTCTGTGCTTCTGGAAGAACTGGAGTGCAAATCTCAGCAAGTAAGAGGTATAAGTGAATCTCTGCCCTGCTACAGGACCCGGGGGACCATTGTTCTCAAAGGATACTTATGGTCGAAGGTGTACCACATTCTGAAGAGCCATGCACTCTCCGTTTTTGTTGTGCTTTTATTCAGGTTATTTGCCTCCTGGGGAGAGACAATAGAAAAAGACATTGAATGAATAGTTAATATAAAATATTAATATGTAATATCAGCATTAATATACAATATATATTTTCACTCTAAAAATACATGTCAAAGCAAATTAAATTTAACTACATTAAAAAAGACTTTCTAGGTATAGGCGATTCCATCTAAATGGCAAAGCAGCTGTCATGCAATTAGCTCAGAGATTGTGCCATCTGGCTTAGACTCTTACGGTGCAATTCAACATTTACTTTTCTTAATAATTCCTGTTTTATTAAACAGCTAAGAAATGCCACTTTTGACATCAAATAAAAACGATATTTCTGTCAGATTGCTGTTGTGGGAATTTTGCAGTTTACTTCTGTCAGATTTGGATGGTATTTATTTATGTCTTACCAAAAGGTCAAGACTAAAGAGATAATAACAGCCTAATAATTTTTCAACTACTTTTCATTTAATTTCTTTTTGATAGGTTACTACCAAATGCTAGGGTTAGTTTTTATTTTTTTTCCTGCTTCAAAACAGATATTCTTATAGGCATCCTGTAATAGTTGAATGTGCTTGTCTCATTTAATTTTTTTTTTCCAAAAGGGTCACAGGGAGAGGGAGGAAGAAAAGGAATTAAAGACAAAAGAGAGTGCATTTGGTGGGTGTTTATGTGAGAGTAGCAGATGAAAATGTCAGAAAAAGGAAAAAAAAGGTGACTAGTTTTTGTGAACTTTAGAGACAGAGGATAATGAACATCATGGTGTGGTAACAAGGAGATTCAGTGGCATTTTTACTTCTTTTGCATATCCCATTTTACATATTAAGATAATTCCAGGCTTCGATCAGTTATAATTATCCTCATCATTAAAAACATTTATATCTTAACATGGACTTCACTGCTTTGTTTGGGACCACAGAGTCCATCCCCAAATTGTTTCATGAGTTCACAGTCCAGTAAATGATGTGAACATTGTCAAGAAATCATGACCCATGGAAGACAATGGCAACCCACCGGCTGCTCCAAAGCCAGCCCTTGGATGAACCCAATGTGATTTACTTTCATTTTATTTTATTTACTTTTTGCCAGTTCCCAGAGAGTTCCATTGCTGGTTAATGATAAATAAGGAGCTGAACACAAAGGGCCACATTCTGCTCTCTGAGACATGTGGATCGGCAGATGCTACAGTTCTGTTCCTCCAAATGAAATGTGATACAAGACAGCAAAATGTGGTTCCTTTCTAGTTAGCCATTTATCCTTTGTTTGAAGTGGTTGAAGCAGAGACTCACAATAAAATTAAGATCTGATTTCAAACCTTGTAGTTTCCCAAAGAGTGTTCCCTAGTAGCCACTATTCTACATAATAGTGATGGAAATTCTGTGCCAATCATTCAGAAAAGGATAGATAAAACTGTGTTGAACAGGTTTCTTATATACAGAACATCTTGGGGTGTTTCATTAGTAAATGAGCATTGTAAGACTTCAAAAGGGAGCTGCTTCTCAAAGTTGGGCAGGGATCCCAACCCTCACTGTGGGATATCTATAATCTTTTCATAGACATTCAGGTCCCACAGATTTGTTTTCTGATAGACTCTGAGTGCCATGCATTCTTTTTTTTTAATTTTATTTATTTACTTTTAGAGAGAGGGGAAGGGAAGGAGAAAGAGAAGGAGAGAAACATCAATGTGTGGTTGCCTCTTGTTCACCCCTTGCTGGGGACCTGGCCTGCAACCCAGGCATGTTCCCTGACTAGGAATCAAACCAGTGACCCTTTGGTTTGCAGGCCCACACTCAATCCACTGAGCCACACCAGCCAAGGGACATGCATTCTTATCTAGAGTTAGAATTTATTCATAATTCATCATTTTCTCCCAAAAAGGAAACCGAAGTATCTGGTTCAATTCCATCCTTCCCTGAACCTTTATTTATTTCTACCTCAAAAAAAGGCATCATATATTTGCAAAATCACTGCTGGTCATAGTACTTTCAACATCTTGTATCATCTCCAAGTTGTTTCTAGTCAGCATTTTCCCAGCAGACACAGCATGTTGGCGCTCAGCCAGCAGAGTTAGGTAAAACTATTTACCCTAAACTCAGCTAGTTATAAAAGCTCTGGGCCAGCAATGGAGTGTGGAGTGTGGAGTGTGGATCTCTCTCTCCACCCCCCGCCCCCCCCACCCCCACCCCCCTCCGCCAAACAAAAAGAACTTACAGAATTTTATCTATCACCAGGCACAGGTAATTTTTGATAGCTGATAATATCTAGGGATGACAGATAGTTATTGAAGAAAACTGATAGAAAGGAATGTGAGCAGATTCCTGTCTTTTGTTAGGTTGTTCATTTTTAAGTAAAGGTGGGCCATGCAGTGCTCAGGTCGGCTGGCAGCCAAGGGCCCAGAACTCAGAGCACCTAGTCTGCAGCAGCCCTGCTGGGTCATGTTTGCAGCTGTGACAGTTTCCAGCTTTTGAAAGCCCAGCCATTGAATGCTAGTCACATTAGCCAGTCATTAACTTTTTCAGTCAATATTTTTCAGTTTTCACAGCAATCCATGAAGGTAGGTCATGTTATACTTATTTTACAAGTGAGGACCTAGAAAAAATCTGAGATGTGAAGAGATGAGCCCAAAGTCACATGCAAAAGACAGAGTTGGAACCAGAAAGCAGGACTACTGGGCTACAAAGGCGGTGTTCTCTCTGCTAGTGTCTCACTCAGCCTCTGAACCCGGGAAAGCATAGGCATTGTGCAGTCTGCTACTTGCGCTGCAGTGTTATTGTCTGTAAAATGGGTGGAAAAAACTGAACTGGCTGTCTCTAAGGTCCTAATTGTATGAAAATACTATATTTTATTAATGAAAAGAATAACAATAAAGGCTAACACTTGTTGAACATACCATGTGCCAGACACTATTCTAAAGGCTTTTCATACAGTAACTCTTAATTCTTATAACAATTTAATGAAGTACGTTCTATTGTTATTCTTACTTTATAGATGAAGAAAATGAGGCAACTGAGGGCACAGAGCAGTTGGGGCCCTCATCTAGGTGGGGCCTCCGGGTATAAGTGGGGAGCAAACTGGGACAAAGAGGCATTTGAATAAGGAGCTAAGTTCAGGACCTTGGAGTGCTCATGAAAGCTGAGATAGAGCAGCTTCATATACCCGAAAACTTCATGAAAATGCACGGTTCCCCTCTGTGTCAGGAATGTCCTAGATTCCTAGATACTAGTTTCATGGTTTCTCAGGTATTAGAAACCCTCCCTGCCTCTTTTCCCTTTTCCATCTCTATTCCATTCCATTCCATTCCCTTCCCTTCCATTCCCTTCCATTCCATTCCATTCCATTCCATTCCATTCCATTCTTTTCATTTTATTTTATTTTCTAAGTTGAGTTTGACATAACTCAGAAGCACTCCTGAAAGGGCTTAAACTCTATTTCTGGCAAAACTTCCAGGGTAGGTTTTTGTCAGTTGATGAGAAAAACATATATTAGCTAACATTCTGGAAAAATGTTAACAAATATAATCTACTTTTCAAATGTTATCTTACTTGGGAGACTGGAGATGCTATTCACTTTACTACTTTGTGGAGAAATAAACTGGGTCCCAATTAGAATACAACACCCAGCATGTTTTCCTAGGTGAGGGAGATACCACTGATGATTCAGCCTTCACTTTCCTGCTGATCCTAGAAAAAAATTTTGAGTGAATATCTTAAATATCTGTTGGCTCAGTTCTGGATCCATTCATTTATATCTCTGAAGTTATTGATGACTTAATAACTTGGTTATGAAAGGCCATCAATAAATGAGTAGAAATAAATGAGTTAGTCTAGTGTGTGCTCTGCTTGTGCACTGGGGGTTGAAGATAAATGTGCCAAGGGAAGGCCAGCCTTTGCAGTCACCCTGGAACAGGGATCTGATGAGGCAGCACAAAGGGCAAGCCACTGGGAAGGCATGGGTGGGCAGAGGGCAGCAGGTAGCATCAATTTACCTGGCTTATTCTGAAGCAGAGATCAGCTCACACCCCAAGGACAATGGATGTGAGCAGTCATCAGAAGTAGAATCTGAAACTTGGTGGTATTTTCTTTATCACTAGAAAGGTTTCCTCTTTTTTGAGTTCCTTTATCCAAAGGAAAAGTAGCATGCATGTTGAAACAAACATGGGATCCAGAAACTGAAGACCAAGATTTGAGTTCTGACTCTCTATGTTTACTGTTTAATAAGAAAACACCAACTCTTAGCCTTGTGTTTCACAGCTGTAAATGGGAACTAGAGATTCAAAAGCACTAAATCCCAATATTTATTTGCCCTTGATACCTCTAGAAGACAGAGTGTTTGATATATGTGAAATTCTGTTTCCTCTGCTTCTGGGAAAATTTTAAAAGTGCCTGGGGCATTTGATACCTTTCTTTTTTCTCCTTAAACAAGGGAAGAGACCAAAGGTTTGGAAGTGACTGAATACAGGAGGGACTAAGTAGTTGTCTTTTAAGTGACCTCCTCACCCTTAGCAACACCTCAGAGTGGGAGCAACAGAAAATGATAATGGTATTCTCTGTTTTAGGCTTATATGGACTCCTGAGAGAAAGAAAACAAAAGGCTCCAGCCAGAAATCTGTGAAAACAAGACATTGTTGTATTAACCTCAATGAAAAACAACTAAGCAAATGTAAATATATTCCTCTATCAATATTCGAATGTGAGGCCTTTCCTAAATGAACTGGATGAACTCTGCTCTGGGATAATCATATGGGATCACTCCTCATTTCAGGAGGATTCAATGGTTTAAGAGAGAGAAGGGATTTTCCTTTGTACTTCTCAAGATTTTACATTCAATATTAATGTCAATGTGAGTTGTATGGAATCATAACAAAGACAAATAATTATCATAACAAATCTGTGGAGCTTCTTATGGGCATCAAAGTGTTTTTCAAGTAGTGCCTGTGAGTGGGATTTGATGGCAATATTTTGTCCTTCAAACTTCCCCCAGTTTAAAATTATTTATGAAATAATTTTCAAGCTGA